TTTTGGAAATAGAATCAGTCACTGTCAAGTAATCATAGCTGCTCCTTTCTATCAAAAAATATTGTTTTATATTGTTCTGTTAGTAGGACAGTTAAAGATGGTACATGAATTTTGTACACACCCTACTTCTGGAATCAAACAAAAGATAGAGAAAGAGGGCAATTTAATGAAGACAAGAGTGTTCTGGGATAAACAGCTCTCCGGTCAGGAAAGTGCTGCATTCGTTATATAATGCAGTGTGGGCTCTGAAGCAAGAGACAATCCTCTGGCTTATTTATAAATATAATTTAGGAAGTTGTCGGTATAATTTCAGCCTCTGTGATGTTTTAATAGTGGAAGTGATACTTTATAAGACCTGGGTAAACCAATGCTTCTAAAACACTCTGTGGTTTTATCAATATATCCTGAATAGTGGTTTAAATGTTAAAGAAAATCTGTCAAGAAAAAAATATCAAGAAATGTATACACATAATACTCATTCTTTCACCATTACGTTTAAATTGGATAATACTTAAAGGTTACTGTTCCTTTTTTGTTTTGTTTTTCAATCACTAGTTTCTCTATTTCCTCTCCTACAGGTTCTCCTTTAAGATCTCAGTTTTTACAAATATTAATTATAGCACTAAAATAATTTTGGCTGCTCCTATAAGAAATCACTGAGCAAAGTAAGTGCATGTGCACTCTCGAGAAAAGTAGAAATTGAGTATATTGAACTTCTCTTTTAAGGTAAGTGGTGCATAAAATACCACCTCCTCCATCTTCTTCTTTCCTGGGCCCATTTTTTCTCTAAAGAGAAAAACATTTCTAGTTTTTCATAATGTTTAAAATATTAAAGAGCTATACTTAATTTCTAATAAAAATACATTATTTTCAAAGTTACCATTTTTCAAAATGGCAACCTAGGTTACTGTCACCCAAAATAATCATTTCTGCCAATTTCTCAAGGAATCAAAGACAACACTTAGATAAAATGTGCTGCCCAAAGACATAATCAGATTGAAGGGCCATGTAAATATTTTATTTTGTTTTTGTTTATCTAAATCTAAAATTCCACCTAATACTCCTAAAAACTGTTACTTTATTTCAGTGATTTTTCCCTTTACCCACAACTCTAATGCTCCTCACAGCCAAATATATGTTGATGAATAGCTTGCATAAATAATTGAAATTTAAATAAGGGAGGGTAGCCTAATAATGTTCTAGACACAGATTCGGTCAATAGGCACTTTGGGCCAGAGACCCTCTATGAAACATTGCACAGGTGTGATGAATTCACCACATAATTTTCAAATTTCTCTATCTACCAACTTATTCCTGCCAGCCAAAAATGTCTATGAACCTCGCTATTTACACTTTTGACCACTACAACTTCTTAGAGGAATAAAATGCTCTTTATACCTACTAGAATCACATGCCAAGAACTGCTATAATTCCCTTTATTTGTCTAAAATGATCTTGTCTTTTATCTTAAAACTAAAAGAAAGAATTCCCTACTTTTAATATTTTGGATTTGTCTATAACGTATATGTGTATCCATCCTACTCAATGGCCCTCATTATTTTATTTTATAGACTTGGAATCACTAGCAATAATATTAAATGCCTTCCCATAATAGGCTGAGTCAACTAAATAAAAAAAAATAAAATTCCCATCTCAGGTGTAAAATAACAGCAAGCAGCCTGTAGTACTACTCCAGGGCACAGAATATAGCACCATTATTCTGGGAAATTGCAACTAAGGAGTTTGGAATTTTATTAGGAACTGCTCACGTTTAAAAACTATACCCAAATATACCACACTTCTTGCTCTTTGGTTATGCATCATCAAGAAGTTCTCTGATGGATTACTAATTGGCTGCGATTTCAGCTCATTAGTGATATCCATGGACAAATAAGCCTGATGTTTTGTTTTCTCTTTGTGTTTCCCTTTCATGTGTAATCTCTCTCTCTCTCTCTCTCTCTCTCTCTCTCTCTCTCTCTCTCTCCCCCTCTCTCCCTCCCTCCCTCCCTTCCTCTCTGTATTTCTGTTACTTTCTATATCTCTCTTTGTGTGTGAGAGAGTTTTCTTCTGCATCTCTCTTTGTATCTAGGGGGATGCTGGTCTGTATGTTTACGTGTGTGCATCTCTATGTATATGTTTCTATTTCATCTGACTCTCACTAAAAGATCTGATCTTTTTATAAGAAGAAAATGTTGTTGTATCAGAAAGAGAAGAATTTCATGGGGTAAATGTTAACGGACAATCCCAGCCTATCTCTCCAGTTCTTAAATATATTGGGAGTGCTGCCTCCTTTTCTTTCCACTCAAGCTCTACCAACGCTTCACTTTCAATGCTGTTAATTTAGATAACAATGAAATCTTCACTGTGACAAACTCAATCTGTCTGTGAGAATTCTGAAAGGAATTTTCTCTGTTAATCTCAATTAAACAATTTCGCAGAATGAATTTATCTACTTCTCTGCCAAATCATATAGAAATGGCAACAACTATGGGATACTCCCACATGAATAAATAGACCAATTTAATGCTATTATTCTCATGTTCCAGGGTTCTTCCACTAAAAGTAGTACAGAGACTTTCCAGTATATATTACATACACGTGCGCATATACTTACCTAAGCATCTAATACAGCAAAGCTCAGAGCTTTGGAGTGGTGGTATTAAGTTAGCCATAAGCAATTAGAAGTGGTATGTAAAATGCCAAAACAGATCAATTTTCATTGTACTAGGTGTTACCCATGGAAAGAAACATTAAACCAATGGAGCATTATGAACATGGCATGTGGAAAAGGTAGAACATTCACTAACTTGGATGGAAGATGTAAAATGGAGACAACAGAAGCAGATATTTCTAAGCCACACAGGTAAGTCTTAATTTCATGGTATATCTGAAATGAGAGGTGATCTGAAAACTGGCTCATGAGAAGTCACAACCAATGATGCTGTATTAGTCCACTTCAGTCAAGGAACTGGCATCTTCTCTCTGGTTACCCTGCCGAGCAACAGCGAGCCTATGGGTTTTATTCTTTATTCTGAAAAGTCCTTTCACGGTCCAAATTACAAGAAGTTGAAATAACTCAAGAGGATGAGAAAGCTGAAATAAGACTGGTGTATCTTAACTGATTCTAATCACCTTTAAATTTCTGAAACTAGTTGTTTTAACAGTAATATCCCCTTATACTTTAGGTCTTGAATAATATGAATACAAGAAGGTAATAGGTAAATATTAAAATTGCCTACCATTATAAATGTATGTATAAGGGGGGCAGGGGAGAGACCTCATGAACATGAACAACAGTGTGTTTATTGCAGGGAGGGGGAGGGGGAGGGGTGGAGGTGGAAAAGGGCATAGAGGAGATAAATGATGATGTCAAAAATTAAATTTAATTTAATTTAAAAAAATTAAAAACATTTAAAATCATACTGGAATGGCTAAAAATATTACACGGTGGTTGTTGTTGTTTTAGTTAAAACAGATCTAATAGATTTTTTTTTCCCCAACTCAAAAATTGTACTCTAGACTCTTATAGTACCAGCTATTCACCACAGTGGAAGAAAAAAAGTCACATGTCAGAGCTTTATGAAAAATAGCTTAATACATTTAAATATATATAGTCCCAAAACCAGGGGAAATATGTGCAAGCCTAGTTTTAGAAGAGATACTAACATAAAAATTAATATAATATAATCTACCAATTCAGGGAAAGCATAATTATATTTAATTATTTATTATCATTTGAGTATGCTTTGGTCTTACCCACTAGGCAGGGAACTTCCTGAGAATAGAGGTGTCTTAATCATTTTTTTCATGTAAAGGACCGCACAGAATGTTGTATAAGGCACCCCCAAAAATATTGTTTCAATGAATCAACAAATGAATAAAAAAACACTTATGGAACTGCAGAGGGTATTTCGATTGCTTTGGTCCAAGCTCTACACTAATCAATATGCAGAAATGTCTCTCTCATACATCTCCAAGCAAATAATCTCAAAATAAAATAACAGCCCTCCAAAGGAAAAATCTTTAAAAGATACTTTACATATCTTTCTTACAAAATTGAAAATTATATAAAAGAATTAAAAACAAGTAGAAAATGTAGAGATTTCAGTAAAATGTAAAGTTTACAAACTCCTAAAATGTGAAATATATAAGCATCCCTATTCAGAACATCTTGGAGAAAATGAATGCATAAATGGATGGTATTTTAAAGACACTTTAAGGCAAGAAAATCTTCACATTAGTATCAAGGTTAAATGACATTTTAAAAAAATTCTTTCCCTAGTTACTTGAAAAGCACAGAAGCTATTGCTTTCCTTCTACATTTCTCCTGTTTAAGTTAAATCAAATATCATATAAATCATTACAGGCCAATGCACAATAAAGAAAAAGAAAGAAACTTTCAACGTAATTTGACCATAGTAATTGTCTTCCCATTTTTCAAGTACTCTCTTCATTACGTTAAACTTCAATTACTCTCCCTCACACAAGGTTCCTTTCTGCGGTGCCCACTGGGCCCAAAAGCCAACCATACATTAAATCTTATTAAGTAGCCACTTTTGCGACCATTCCCAACTTGAGGCAAACCCTTGCGCTGAGAATAACTAAATTCTAAGAATGTGTTCAGTCTCTGCAACCTACTTGAGGGGGGAAATTGTGGAAAGAGGATGAACAAGAAAAATATCCCTCACCAAACCGAAACTCAACACTATTCTCCAGACGTCCCTACACCCTACTCTCTCTCCCTTAGCTTCCTCCAGTTTCTGGGTCTGGACTAGTGGAAGTGGGGTGAGCATCCATGAGGAGGGTATGCAACTAACTTTCCACCACTACCTCATTCCCATCCCCACCCCAAGTCAGGTGCAGCTAGTAACTGAAGCCACCAGGTAGGGCTGTCTGCATCTCCTGCCCCCTTTGGGAGAGGGACGGGATGGGATGGGGAGTATGGGGGGCGCGCGCGGGCAGGATAAAAGTGGGGTGTTTGGAACTGCAACTCTTCTTACCACTGGAGCGTCTGACGATGTTCTCCAAAAATGTGTTCTGCGGTGCCACCAGCCCTCTCTTGCCCCCCGGCATCCTGGGTCTGGAGAGCGGCGGCCAGGATCCGCGGCGGGGGAGGGGGGGATGCAGGAAGAGAAGGTGGAGAAAGAGGTGGAGGAGAAGATGGAGCCGAAAGAAGAGGGGGCGCGGCGGCGGCGGCGGGGTCCCCTGACTGTGTCTCCAGCCCGACCTGGATGAGCAGCTCTGGGGAGGAGGACCAGGCAGTTCATGGTAGTAGCGCTCCCCCGGCCGCCGCTGCCCAGACTGTGGCGGTGCCGCACACCGGGCTCGGGAACTGCAGGCTCCGCGGGGCACAATGCGCCTGCGCCGCCCCCGCTGTCGCTGTCCCGCCGGTGCTGATGCTCAAGCTGCTGCTGAGGCTGCTGCCGCGGCGGCCGTCGCCTGGGCGCGGGCTCAGCATTTCTCCCCGTGCCCCGAGCCCCGGGCCGGGGAGCCGGAAGAGCCAACCCAAGCGCCTCTCTTGCAGCCCCTCTTAGCCCAGACTCAGACCGCACCGCCGCGCCTTCCCCTCCCCTGCCCCAGCCCACCCATCGCGCCGCTCCACGCGGCTGCCCGACCAACTTCTGCCGCGCTGTGCGCCTTGTGTCCGCGCTCTCTCCCGGGAGATCGAGGCAAATGCTCGCGTCCAGGGGGCCGTGGAGTGGGAGAGGCAGGCAGGGTGCCAGGGAGAGCAACGGACAACCGGAGGGATCACAGCTCAGCGTCTCTCGCCGGGGTCCCGAGCCCCAAACGCGTCTGCCGGGTTGGAGGTGTTCCCGCTCCTCTGAGGCTGAGCGCTGAGCAGGGACCGACTGGGCGGCTGGCGGGGACGCAGCCACCTGACGCTGCTACGCCCCCTCCCCCATTCGGGCTCCGGCTCGAGACGCTCAGCAGAGAACCTTCCGCACCCGCCTCACCCCACGCGGCGGAGCCCGAGCCAGATGGGGTCGGCGCCAGAATGGCCCCTGCGCCCCAGGCTGGGTCTGGAGCTGGGGAGCTGCGGCCGCACAGGGAAGCTTCCCCCGCTGCGGAGCGCAGGAAGCGAGTGGCGGGCCGGGCCACCGCTGCGAAGTTACTGAAAAGGTTACAGTTAATGCCAGGAGTCGGGAAAGAGGGTGAATAATTCACACCCGAGAGGGCGCGTGCAGCATTTGCCGTGGAAGCCCAGTGAAGGCGGCAGGAGCAAAGCTGAGCAGAGCTGGGGGTGCCAACAGGATTCGTCTCTAACAATCCCCTATCCTCTCGTCACCGGGAACATGAGTGCAACCGTTAGAAACAGAGTCCAAAACCCGAATCTACTACGGAGAGGGGCAAATGGCAACGGTGGGAATGCAGCGGGGAGAGACGGAGAGAAAAGAGGGAGCTCAGGCCATGGCATCGTCTTCTATCTGAGACAGTGGTTCTCAAAGTGGTCCCGGCTGGTAGCACCTCCCAAGAACTTGTTAGAAATGCAAGCTATTCGGTTCTCTCTACCCCAGACAAGGGACCAGGAAGCAGGGGCAAGGACCAACAATCTGTTTTAATAAGCCCTCCGGGTAAATGTGTTGCAAGCTCACATCTGAGAAGCGCCTGTCTAAGGCTTCCTCTCCGGATCCTCCACCTGGACTGTTGAGAAAGGGCCGAGCATAAGCAGGGTCAAGGAGTGGGGGCAAGAGGTGCGCTAAGCAGGGTCAGAGGCTGGTGGGAGGGGAAGTATGGAGCAGTGAGAGCAATAGGAAAGTTGGACGGGGAGTCCCCTTTCCCTGGGGTCAGAGTATGCTAGGTAATCAAGGCCAAAAGGCCCAGAAGCACCAGCAATCCCCAGGCTGGGGTTAAAGGAAACATCTCCTGCTCAGCACCAGACCACAGCCTGAGGAGAAGAAGGGAGGGGCGATGTCTGACTTTGTTTGGAACCCCCTAGATTACCAGTCACTGGCCTTCTTACCATCACTCACTCTCCTGAACACCCCAGGGTAAGGGCCCTAGCCTGTGGCTCAGAGACATAAATGCACAACCAGGATCCAGGTTTTAGCTTAGGGTCATTTGTTCCCTCCGCATTGGGATGTCCACCTGCTTGCCCACAGCTTGGGCAGCTGAGCATACCCAGAGGGTTGCCTGGAGGCAAAGAGCAGTGTGCTCTGCTAGGATGCCTTCTGCAAAAAAAATCAAGAGACTGTGGAATAACACTGGGCTATTTTAGCTTTCTACCCAAAGCACTGCTGGTGGTGCACTGGTGCAATTTTCTTCCCTACAGCTAGAATGTCTTCTAAATACATTGGGGTGTCTTTCTTTGAATAACAAGGGACTTGGGCACAGAATGGATCCTTGTGTTTCGCCTGCCTCTGGCAGGAGTGAAGGATGTAGCTGAGGTTATAGCTCCTTCCCCGCAGTTGACAGGGTGTATGTAAGCAGAGGGGAACTGGAAAGGCATCCTTAAACAGTTGGATTTTCCCCCTCAGGTGAGTTTTGGGGTCTTTTTTTTTCCTTTTTATTGAATTTATTGGGGTAACACTGATCAAAAAAAATTATACAGGTTTCAGGTACACAATCCTAAAACACATCATCTGTTCACTGTATTGTGTGTTCACCACCCCAAATCAAGTCTCTGTCCATCACCAGTTATTCCCCCTCCACCCTCCTCCACCTCCCTCCACCTCCTCTCCTTCCTAGCAATCACCACACTGTTGTCAGGTCCATGAGTTTCTCTCTCTCTCTCTCTCTCTCTCTCTCTCTCTCTCTCTCTCTTCTGTTTTGCTCAATCCCTCCATCAACCTCACCCAGTCTCCAAAGAGGACATACAGATGGCCAATAGATATATGAAAAGATGCTCAAAATCACTATCATCAGAGAAATGCAAATTAAAACCTCGGGTGAGTTTTGTATAACCTGTGATCGCAGCGACTGGGCTAGTGTACAGACAAATCATGGTCCTAGAGCAGCAATTTTCAACTGGTGTGCCATAGCACACTGGTGCGCCACAAGAATTTTTAAAACATGCAATGCCGACTATTTAGTCAGGGGCACTGACCTCTTTTCCCTTAGATTGCCAAATTAAAAAATGACAGCAGCAACACAACAATAGCCATCTGTTATGAATGAATCAAAATTATACCTATTGTTTCTCAGATCTGCAAAAAATACATTTTTTTGGTGTGCCGCAGAATTTTAGTAATTCGTTTATGTGTACCATGCGATGAAAAAGGTTGAACATCGCTGTCCTAGACTAATCAGCCATTCACGGCGGGGGGGGGGGGGCGGCGGGTGAACTGGGAGGCTAATCTTTTAAAAATATACACATAGATAATTCATACATTGCTATCCTAGGCTTCTAACGTAATCTGATAAATCCATCATCAATGTTAATAGGAAAGATTTCAAATGTTTATGTTGTTTTACACCTCATCAGCTGCCCACTTTTGCCTCTGGGTATGGATATAAGATGTCGGCTTCCCAGTGTGTCCCATCTAGTATAAATATCTCTGTTCTAAATCACTTCAATGTGGGTATATTAGCTCACACTTCCCAAAGAGGAAACTCTTTGGACTCTATTGAGACAGTCACACAGAGGACTTCCCGTTCATTTCCATTTGCAAATTTAATTAAAATGACATGTATCCTTTCTTCTTTGTCCCTAAGAACTACATAGCATTATAACTTTAAAATTATTTTAATTATTGTACAAAATTATAGTTATAAAGAATTAAATCCTTGGTTTACACACTTTTCTTAATCCTCTGTTTTAAATTTTCATTCCCAAGAGGAAGAAACAGAGACTCAGAGAGATGAAATGTCTACTCCAAGATGACATGGTGCTTGTAAGGCTGCAAAGAGACTAGAATCAGGTCTCCTGACCCTGTAGCCAGGGCTCCTTGTAAATAATAGAAAACAATCTGATTTTGGCTTAGTGTAGTAATAACCAGCAACATCCAGCGATCTCTATTGCCATCATTCATTTTGTAGCACGAGAGAAGAGAAACCCTGACAACTTGCAACAGCTCATAATCAAAATAAGTTTAAGAACATAGAGCGGCAATGTGTATGAACTTACTGACCCTAAGGCATATGCTGGCAGATTGCAGAAAGGTGCCAATACAGCATTTCAAAAGCATTTTGCAGCTTAGCCAGTGTGGCTCAGTGGTTGAGCGTCGACCTATGCACCAAGAAGTCGCCAGTTCAATTCCCAGTCAGGGCACATGCCCGGGTTGTGGGCCTAATCCCCAAGTGAGGGGCATGCAGGAAGTGGCCAATTGATGTTCTATCTCTCTCTCCCTCCCTCTTCCTTCCTCTCTCTCTCAAATCAATAAAGAAAAGCAAAATGTTTTTTAAAGCATTTTGCAGACAGAATCCATATGTTGTAACCAAACCACAAGATTTACCAGGTGAGAGAAAGACAGGAATCTAAAAGCTTCGATGTCACACAGAGGGTTTCTTTTTGTTTGTTTCATTGCAAAGCCTTGCCTTTTAAAACAGAATCATTTGTCCTTTTCTCCTCGCTTGAGGTACTGTAATTAGAGTGGTGTCATCTGTGAGAACCAGAGGTGTTCACTGACCCCCAAGTCACAGGCATGAAGTGAATGAAAGCTAGCTGAGCTGCAAGTGCGTTCCAGTTTAACAGCAACTAATACAAAAGTGAAGACAGAAAACTGAGATATTAGGCAGTGATGGTTTGTAATTACTGTTGGTTTGCGGAAGGATTATTTTATCAAGCACCCCTCCGTAGAGAGTTTTTAAATACAGCTTATTTGTCAGTAGCTGTAATTATGTGTAAACTCTCAGAAAAGCATTAGAAATAGGTCCAGTCTGACAATGTTTAATCCCTTATGTGAAAATGGCCAACCCACAACTCTCTAGGGGGATGGTTTTTCTTGCTGTCCCTGCTCTGTTTCTGAGCTAACCTCAGCAAAGGTCTAAGGTACAATCTTTGGATGCTTTGGGCGGCACTGATGGAGGAGAAATGGGAGGAAGGAAGAAAGAAAAAGTTGCTCTCCATCCTGGCCTCCAGGGCTGGTCTCATTAGCAGTAGTATCAGTTCAGAACATTCCCCAAGTCTCACTCTCTGCCTCCCCCGGAGCCCGGC